TGGCTATCCTTTTATACACTGAAACTTAAGATAGTCAAAGAATCAACCATAGTAAGACCTTTTTTTGTTTTTTTTCATAAACCAGCATCAAATTAGGTCTGAAAGCGGTGCATTTTTACTGCTTATAAACAGCTCTCTGCAAATCCCTTTATAGTCATCACTGACTTGATTAGAACACTTTTTCATTCATTTGCACCTTCCTTTTATCATTTTGCATTTCTTACCACAGCTGACCTTCGATGTTGTGAATGACCAATAATATGGATGAGCTTTTAGTCAGATTGGGTGAAGCAGTTTAGACGAATTGACTTGGCCGGATTGAGGCTTTTCTTGTTGCAATAAAGCTGCCTAATTTATTCGCCGCCATGCCCCGTGTCCCCTTTGTCCTTCTGGAGGGGAGCAGAGTGTTTAGCAGTGTCCAATTCTGTTCTTTCTATGGCCTTATACAGAACCTGAGCTTCTGTAGCTTTGCTTTCATTATTCAGCTGGAGAATGTGGTTATAGAAGTCCCACATGTGTTCAAGAAGAACCCACTCGAGAGAGAGCCACACTGTCAATACGTCCTTGAGGAATGATGAAAAACCAGTTTAAATGGATGGTACATGCTGGGGAATAAAAGTCAACTTCTGCATAGACACCTTGAGGGAAGCTTCTCAAGATATGAGAGAAATCTGAAGGATGCAGAGGACACAAGTGAGGATTACGGGCAAGAGCTACTTGAAAACACAACAGGTCAGTCTTAAAGGAGCAGTTCATCCAAAAATGAAAATTCACCTTAAGTCATCTTAGATGTAGATTACGTTTTTCTTCAATAGAACTGTAAAGATGATTTTTAGCTGAAACCGTGGTCCTTGGCGATTCATAAAATGCAAGTCAATGGATTACAGGTAATAATGTTGTAAATAGTGTTCAGTTTCTTGCACAAACCAGTCGTTTCACTTCATAAGACCTCAATATATCGTCAGGAGACACGGGGATTCATTTTGTGTTGCCTGTATATGCTTTTTTGACTCTAAAAGTGCCGGTCGCCATTGACTTGCATTTTATGAATCACCAATGAGGATGGTTTCAGCTAAAAATATTCTGTACTTTTCTACTGAAGAAAAAAAGCTACTAAAATAATATATCGTTGGATGGCCTGAGGTAGAATAAATAAACAGCACATTTTCATTTTTGGGTAAACTATCCCTTTAAGAACAACACTGCGAGGAAGGAAAATATAAAAAAACACAGTCTATGGAATGAGTTGACAAGAATAAAATGAATTCAGTGAAGACAATGTGGCTTTGTAGAGCTTTACCTTCTGTCTCTGGCACTGAAAGGCACCACGTGGATTCCTAGCGGCCCACCGCCATTGGACACCTCAACCGGCTTCAACATTTCACTAGGGACATTGACAAATGAGGGCAATGAGAGGAGAAACAAAACAGAAGAACCAAGTAAACAAAGAAAAGGCAATACATGAAAAGTTTCGAGCATGACAGAGCAGCTATGAGCAGCTATGAGCTGGAAGCGAAGGCTAGTTTAGATCCAGCCCAGCACGAGTCCATCTATAACCCCAGGGGCCATTAAGACACACGGGTCGATGGAGGACCCAAAACAGACACTTCAATTAAGTGATTAGGATCAGATTGAGGCCTGCAGTGGGCCGGTTCTGGGTTTGTAACAGTCAGGGAGTGCACACTACACCTGTGAGAGAGAAACATATGGCAAGAACGCATGGGATAAAGAGAGGACAACAAACATCAGTAAAAAAGATGAGCACATGAAGTGATGAGGTGCTGCGGTCTGTTAAACTGACATCTTTTCCAGACAGTTGAAGGCTAGATCACCCAAAAATTGAATTGTACAATAAATAAAACGGAAAACAAAACAATATTACTAAAATGGTAACTGAAATGATCATTAAAATGGAAAAATACAAATAAAAACAGTAGAATATTCTTAGTAGATAGTAATACTATCAAAATTATAGTATATATCTGCCATTGGTCAGCAAAAAATGATAGCTCCGCCCCAAACTCTTGCCATTGGTTGAGCTGTTGCTGTTGAGATACACACTTTTTAATTAACCTATAAATGTTACTTAAGCTGTTATAAAATGAAAAATATATCTAAAATATGATACAAAAAATATAAAACAAGTACACTTGTTAGACTTCAATCTGTTCTAAAAATATATCATATTGTTAGTTGTGTGGACTACTTTTAAAATACTTTTTTGTTGCTTGACAGCCACTGATCACAGTTTTCCAATGCATGGAAAAATGCAGCCTGTACATTTTCCTAAATATCTCATTTTGTGTTCAGTAGCTTTTTATTTTTTCCGAGTGAACTCCCTGAGATGATTTGTTAGATGTTGTTGGTTGTGAGAAAGTATTCCTGTGAGGACTCACTCGAGTGAAGCTGATTCCACACAGGAGTCTGCCCTTCCCACCGGCTCTATCCTGCCGTTCCTCCCGTTGTCTGCTCTCTCCTCGTCGTCTTCTTCTTCTTCTTCCTGTGGAGCACCAAAGAAACACACTGTGAGTCAATGGTTCTACCTCACATCTCACATAAAGCAGCCGATCTCTGGCTCGCTCTAATTGAATTGAGCCACAGATGAGCGTAATGGCTGCTGTTTTAAATCAGGGTAACTGTGAGAGTACGGCCGTGGCATCAGAGCGATGGCTGTAATCGATTATTCATATTCAATCAGTCTGGGCTCGGGCCGCGCTCAGGTCTGCTGCTAATCGGATAAGGGAAGAGTTGAGTGGATGTGCATTTGTTTCTTTCGCTATCCTTATCTAATTTCCATCTCTCTGTCTTTCTATTTCTCAACCTCTTGACACGTCGGATATGTGCAGATGTCATTTACAATTCTTGGAAAAATGTAGAACAATAAGGTCCTGTCAAATAATGGAGGCTGGATTGAAGGCAGGACTCTCATCAAACATATTGACAGATTGACCACAAAAAGCATGTCAGCTAACATCTTTGAAACGCTTAGTCATGCCGAATAGGAAACAAAAGCCCTCTTTAGGTTTATTTATTTATTTGCTAAATTGTATTTATGAAAAATAAAATAAAATAAAATAAAATAAAATAAAATAAAAATAAATCTAGGTGTATTTCAAAAACAAAACAAAATTACTAAAACTTTACAATTAAAAATAAAAAAATAAAACAAAATGAAAATTATTCAAAATATTAATAATAAATAGAACACTATTTTTTATTATATAAAAATGCTGCAAAAATAAAGTTAACAAAAAAAAATTGTTACTTAAAATAAACATTAACTGAGATCAAATAAAACATGTCTGTCATCTTGTTTTCATTACACCTAGTCAACATTTCTCATTTTTATTTAGTTTACCTTGATGTACTAAAACAAAAAACAAATAAATAAATACTGCTACTAAAATAATATATTGTTACTAAAAATTTAAGTAAAATTAAAATGAAAATGAAAAAGAAACATTCAAAATATTAATAAAAAATACAATACTATCTCAATAATAATAATAATAATACAATAACACTGCAAATATACATGCATCAAAATGGCCAGGCTGCTGAATAGCATACTGTGAACATGCGTAACCAAGATTTTATAGCTTTGCATGAGAATAAGACTGACATTTATGAAAATATTTCCATCCACCACACTTTGTTATTTATATTTATATATGATATTTATATACCTATAAACTGTATATTCAATAAAACAAACAAACATACAAACAAATAAATACATAAATAATTAAATAAACATTAATGCATATGTAAAAGGGTCCAAAGATTAACAAAAGCCCCTTAATCGAGTTTATCCAATGACAACTGAATTTACTCCACACATTAATTGCACTCAAACCTTTGGCTGCGGATCATTTCCAAAGCCAAGTGAGTGTCTAGACACGGGCGAGATTCTGCAATGGTTTGTTAGCCACGGATATTAATATTCCAGCGGTCTCACCCTTAACCTTCCCCTCTCACCAAAATGTCAAGCACATCTAAATAAGCGCTTCTCCGTCTTTATATGGAAATGCATTCAGTCTTTTCAGACAGTCACCCTCCACCACAAGCATCCGCCGGTCTGAAGAGGATGACTGGAGTCCTATTTTCATCTGTCTGTATTTTTTTATTGTTGTAGAGGTTAAAGAATGAGTGGAGGTCATGAAAATGTTATTAGCAAACCTCGGAAAAAGCGGCAGCAGGTCTGTTACCTTATTATGGTGAAAATGAGTCAATTGCCTCTCCAAACACAATCGATGGTTTCGCTACTCGCCACCCAATACACTGATTTTTCTGCAGAAATGGCTGGATTTTTGCCTTTATATCACAGTGTTGGTGTGGAAGAGCTCAATTATATCTGATCCAGAATATTAAATCAAACCTCGTCACCCACAGCACTGAATTAAGAATTACTGCATCAATTTAGGTCAGATTTCCTAATTTACAGGTGTATACGTCTCACTGATTTTCAGTCTGTATATCTGAAATTTGATATTTCATATATTAGCATGACGGTAGAATAGTATGTACTGAAATGCAGAAAATTAACAAGACAATATTTACATGACAATATGTGACAATATATTATAATATAACAGCATAATATGTAAACATTTCCACGAAAGGATAGATAGAAATGCAATTATTTACCCCCAATTTCATTGTATGTTCATTGTCATTAAAAATAAAAATAAAAAATGTCTTGACTTGTCAATATTTAAAAGATCAGAAAAGCTGGAGAAAGAAAACAATTCATATTTAAAAAAGCCATGTTTAACCCCGAAATAAAAAGAAAAGATGCATGTTAAATTGCTCTATTTGTTTATTATTAAAATTTATTAATTTATTATTTTTTTGTGACATTACTATACAATTTCATTGTGGGGAAAACAAACTCATTTAATGATAACATATAATTTCAGGTTATTTAACCGCATGATCCCGACATTTCAACTATTAAACTATTCAATTCTATGATTATTGTAGGTTAAATGTTGTTTTTTTCCCCCTTTGGTCCTGTCTTGTCATGTTTAAACTACAAAGTAAGCCAGGACCTCTACTGATGTCCCCTAAAAAAAAAAAAACTAGAAACATCTTTGTCACTGAATAGTATTACAAAAGCATTCAAAATAAATAAATATATTGAGTATTGGTGGAGTGAAAGTTTCATGAGACATGCAGCTGTGCTGGAGTGTCTCCATTCAGCTGTGAATGCTGCTGTCTGCAGCCAGAGAATGAGCTTATTAGCAGTGAGAGATAAACTGGAGCGGCGAGGGCCGTCACATCGGACCCTGAGAATCGGTGCAGGCGGGTGAGGAGAGCAGAGAGCAGTCCCTGTCACAAAGTCACTCGCACACAACACAAAGTGTCACTTTGCCTGTGGTGGCGGCGGTAATGACGGACACAGAAAATGAGGCTGGATGCCAGACGCTCCATTGTCCGGTTCTGAACACCTGCCAGATGCCAGCTCCAATGAAAACTCCTGCATCAGCCCACCACAGGGGGAAAAGGTCATTCACTGTGCATCCCAGAGGAGAAGATCGACATCAGCCACCGCTTCATTCGGGTGCTTTAGGGCTCTGCTGATATGTGAGTGTTTGTGTGCGTTTGTGAGTTGGGTGAAGGCCAGAAGCCACTCAGTGCAGCAGTTACAGGAAGCCAGAGGTTACAAAGCTGGCGATTAGACAGACAGTGCATTCGATTATTGTTCCTGGCAGACGCAGGAGGTCGGTCACTTTGAGAGACTGCTGGCTTGTGAGGAGCTGGAGGGAGAACGTTTTCCAGAGGGAACTCGGATCAGAGGAGGAAACGGGTGATATCTCCAGAATGCTGGATGAAATGCAAACAGAGGACTACAGATGCCTCGCTGGAGGGCCTGAAGCGCACGTCTGTGGAGACAACCAGCGTCTGACCTCCAGATCAACCAGATGAAATCAGGAAGGTGGCAGTGGTGTGACATGACAGTTAGTGACAGGAGGAGAGGTTTGGCCTCTAGCATTGGGTCTAAGGTCGAATTTACACACAGAGACCACAAGAGTTTGTACTATTGCTACCCTCAGTCACAGCCTCAGTTCGTCTGATCCATACTACGGGTGTAACAGCCCAATAAAATTATGGTTCAGTACGTACCTCAGTTTTGAAGTCATGGTTTGGTACATTTTTGTACATGGAATTTTAATTTTTTTTAATTAAACTAGTTTACTGAATTCAATTTTAATTACATTTTCTCACATTATCTCAATTACATCATGATTACATTATCTCAGCTAATGTTGCAAGCTATATAGGGAGCTCTATTACTTGCACATTACTATAATATTAAAGGTTGCAATTAACAACAGAGTCCAAATGATTAAATCCAATTGCTATTTATATTTAGATACAATAATCCAAAAAAATGTAAACACGTTAATTGCACATAAATCAGTTTTTACATTAACTTCTAAATTGTAAAATTAAGTTTCTACTCCAATTTTTCTTGAAATATAATCATTGACATGATGCTTGTTTTCGTGAATTGTCTAATAAAATGAACACTTTGTTTCTTATTGAAAGTACACACAGCTTTTATTCATGCGTTCACGCAAAGTTTTATTCATGCATCAACTGAAATAGCATAGACTTAAAGATCAATCTTGGGATTTAAGAATCGATATTGATTCATTAAAATAAAGATACACAAAACTATGAGTTTCAAATTAGGTTCTGCACGTGCATTGACTAAAACAATGCTGTATTTGTTCAGTACACCTGCATACCGAATCGAAAGAGCATACCTAAGAAGTTTTGGTACAAATACATGCACTGTTACACCACTAATGCATACTGAACAGAAAAACAGCAGTTCCAGTTTCCAATCTAAGGTTAACACAATATGCACCTTATACTGGAAGAAAAGAACATTTAAAGTAACCAAAACTTTAAGATGTTTGTGTTTTTTAGAGCTAGTAACTGGATTTGGCAACCATTAAAGTTTTATTTATGACACTTAGTAGCAAATTAAATGCACATTCAAGTGCAAAACTGCATATTTCATTTAGTTTTTTGTGCTCTGTTTGATAAATAATCAGTAGGCTAATAATAAGCTGCAAAGTGGAGTTTATGTGAAACTGCTACAAAAGCCAACACAATTATTTTCACCAATGTTCTCAGGAATAGATGGATTTTGGAGGGAGAATATCTTAAAATCTATACGCAAACATACAGCTTTGCGTTTTTAACCCAGAACTGACCGAAGGACTATTTTCTTGTCCAGCGTTAAGTGCTGGAAATGTGCAGTAAAGAAAATATAAGGAAGCGGGCAATTTGTACAGAGTCTCTCAAACAATGACTATCCAAATATTTACGATGTCCAATAATAGTGACCTCACTCAAGTTCCTGACTACGTACAAAAGTTGGTAATTACCTCCAGCGAAACGCCCAAAAAAACAACATGGAAAAATCCAAACATAACAAATTAGACCGGCGTGAGAAATACTACAGCTGTCCAAAACTTCTCATGT